ACGGTTCCGACAGGAAAGAGTCAAGCGAAGAGTCAATCCCGCCACTATATAAAGAGGTCAACCTGGGAAGCCCAACCATACCCACTTCCAGTCCATCCTCAACGAATGAGGCATAGCTCCAAAACTACCAGAGAAATCAAAGAAATTCCTTACAAAGCCAACCATCTCCTTCCTCCCCACCCCCAAATGGCAATGGAGAACCACTCGATGAACCTGAGAGGAGAGAGGAGGCATCTGGTCTTGAATGTCAAAACAAAGGTGACAGGGGCCAGAGGAAGCGGCATGGCCATGCTGTTAGGAAAGTGGGTCACCGACACAAACATGGTTTCCTTTTCTTCTCTGGTGTCTCTGGTGTCTGGCTTCCTTTTCTCTTCCCCAAATTTTCACCCCTGTTAATCTACAGCCGGAGAATCTTTCTTTTTCACCAAGGTGGAAGCAGGAAGATTTACCAGAGGAGGAGGAATACCATTAGAAGACGAAGCATTGCAGAGATCAACAATGATGGCAACCAGTCGGCAGAAGGAGAATCGCCATCACCAAAGGAAGCGGCGGCATGCCTCAAGCCGCCTAATCAAGAATGAGAATGATAAGCTGGAATTGTAGGGGGTATGGCCAGCCCCTTACAAGGAGTTACTGCGGCAGGTTGTGCCGGAAATTCGTCCCTTCAGTGGTTTTTCTTATGGAAACGAAGAAGGAAGACTCTTTCCTCGATAGTAGAAGAAGATCCCTGAAGTTTGACCACTCGGAGTATGTGAGCCCTGCAACTGAAGGTAGCGGTCTTGCACTTTGGTGGAAGGATGATGTTGCAATCAGTATTTTGGATTCGTGTAAGTCCTTTGTGGACGTGTGTATTAGCTGGGAAGGTGTGGTGTTCTTTTGTACCTTCATCCACGCTCCTACCACGGTGGTAGAGCGAAGGATGCTCTGGGAACGACTTACGAACCTTAGAGACATCCAGGATGAGAAATGGTTAATTGTAGGTGATCTTAATGTGGCAATGGCGCCGAGTGAAAAACAGCGGAGATGTCCATTGAGGAATGAGAATGTTGCCCCTTTCAAATACTTCATCGAAAGAAATTCTCTGATTGATCTTGGATTTTCTGGCGAGCCTTTTACTTGGACCAACAAACAACAAGGAGATAATCTCATCAGAGAAAGGCTTGACCGAGCCCTGTGCTCTGCCTCCTGGAGGCTCGAATTTTCTTCTGCAGCAGTCTTCCATGAAGATTTTGTCGAATCGGATCACTGCCCCGTCAGGATTGATCTAACTCCGAAAAGACGCAGAATTAATACCCCCTTTCGATTTGATAAAAGATGGTGCGATGAGGAAGAATGTTGCCAGATAATCAGCGACGCCACTAGTAAAAGGGATCCTATCCATCGAACCCTATCGAATTGTCAAGGTAATCTTACAAGGTGGGCGAAAAATGTGAGGGAACTTAAGCACAGGAGGGAAAAAGAAATCGAACAAAGGATTCAATGCATCCAAGGACCAAACAGATCAATTGAGATGACGGAGGAGGAGAAAACCCTCCAACAAGAGCTTCAACTACTCTGGGCATCAGAAGAGGAGTTCTGGGCTCAAAGATCCAGGAATTCATGGCTGCAAGAGGGAGACCAAAATACAGGTTTCTTCCATGCCACCACTGTGAAAAGACGTATTTCCAACAGAATTGTTAAATTAAAGAACGATAGCGGGGTATGGATTGAGAATGAACAAGAGCTGGGGGATTTGGTCACAGGGTTCTATCGGAAACTTTTCACTAGCAGGGATGCTTTATTTGACCATTCTATTCTACAGGGATTCCCTTCTCTGGTCTCTGTTGCACAGAATGCTTCCCTGACTGCCCCCTTGCTTAACGAGGAAATCAAGAGAGCTGCTTTTCAACTGGGAGCCAATAAGGCACCTGGCCCTGATGGCTTCCCAGGGTTCTTCTACCGCCGCTTTTGGAACCTTCTGGGGGAGTCTCTGTGTGATGAGATCCGGGGGTTCTTCACTTCAAACACAATGCCAGAGGAGTGGAATGATACCTTCATCACCATTGTTCCAAAAGTGGCGGCCCCGGAAATGATTGCACAATACCGCCCCATTAGCTGCTGCAACTTCAGATACAAAATCATCACTAAGGTCATGACTAATCGCCTCCAGCCTTGGCTACCAGAACTAGTAAATGAACTACAATCTGCATTCACAGGGGGAAGGCAAATTCAGGACAACATAATCATTGTCCATGAGGTTTTGAACCACTTCAAGAAACACAAGAAAGGCTACCGAAAGGACATGATGATGAAATTGGATATGAAGAAAGCATATTACCTGGTGGAGTGGGAGTTCCTCATTGAGCTCCTCCAGGCCTATGGTTTCAATGACGTTTGGTGCAAATGGGTTGAAGCTTGTATTAGCTATGTCCGCTTTCAGGTTCTGTTTAATGGGGAGCCTTCTCTCGGTTTCCTGCTCTCGCGAGGGCTGAGACAAGGAGACCCTTTGTCTCCACTCCTCTTCATCCTGATGTCCAACGCTCTGTCCTTCCTTATTGAAAAGTCGGTAAGAAGTAGGGAGATTAGAGGACTGAGACTCAATAGACATTGCCCCAACCTCACTCACTGCCTTTTTGCGAATGACACTGTTATATTCGGAGAGGCATCGACGGCAGAGGCAGAGAATATTATGAGAATCCTAAATGATTACGGAGCAATAACAGGCCAAGAAGTTAACAGAGAGAAGTCGTCAGTGTTCTTCAGCCTTAATGCGAGCAGAGAAGAGCAAAAAGAGGTCACGGCGACCATTGGATTTGCGGACTCCAGTGGCCATAACAAATATCTTGGAGTGCCCACAGAGTGGGAAAGATCTAAAGCTGAGACTTTCCAGTTCCTCATTCAACGAATGGAAAGTAAGGGAGAAGCGTGGAAAAGCCTGTTGCTTTCTCTAGGGGGGAAAGAGACACTCTTGAAAGCGGTGTTCCAGGCCATCCCAGCGTTTATAATGTGCCGTTTCTGCTTCCTAGTAACACTACAAACAAGATGGACTCAATGCTTAGGAGGTTCTTTTGGGGAGGATCTATCACAAAGAAAACTGTCCACTGGAGAAGCGGGAAAATCCTCTATGCCCCTAAAAATGAAGGTGGAATTGGGTTTCGACCTTTTCACGAGTACAATTTGGCTCTACTGGCCAAACAGGCGTGGAGGATTCTAACCAGTCCAGACGCCCTTTGGGTTAGGCTGCTAAAAGGCTTGTATTTTCCGCGGAACAAGTTTCTGGAGGCAAGAAGAGGAGGGAGAGCATCATGGATCTGGTCTAGCCTTTGGGAAGCGAGGAACCGGATGGAACCAGGAATCATCAGGGTGATTGAGAATGGAAAAATAACAAGGACCTTCCAAGACCCATGGCTGTTCGCGAGAGCTGGGAGTCTCTTCCCGAACCAAACATCTTTTCCGGCAACAGTTGACAGCTGGATTGATGAGGTTGATCGAGTTTGGAAGAATGATCTTATTGCTGATTTCCTTCCTCCACAACAACTCCAACAGGTCCTGAGCACGCCAATTGGACCAGCCTCCATGAAAGACTTTTGGGCATGGAGATTCTCAGACCAAGGTGACTTCTCCGTCAAATCAGCTTTCCATTCTTTCCACAATCAAAAGCGAAGAGCTCAAAGGGACTTCCAGGACATTCCACCAAGCACAAAGGAACGGTGGAAATGGCTTTGGAGCATCTCTTTGCCTCCGAAGATGAAATTCTTCATCTAGAAGTGTAGCAGAGGAGCTCTGACCACTAAAGAAAACCTTCATGTGAGAAGATGCTCTCCATCCAATGCTTGCCCTCTCTGTAGGGGAAATGTTGAGACCATACAGCACTGCCTTTTCTACTGCCCCCTCGCAGCTGAAGGCTGGAATGAGGCATGGCCATCCCTGTGTCTCCCACAACAGCACACAAACATGCTGGACTGGTTACATTCCCTCAGCCAAAGGTACTCAATTACTTCAATTCAAAGAATCATCTACCTTATGTGGCACACGTGGAAGGCAAGAAATGAAAGTATCTTCAGAGACAAGCGGATTTGGCTCCCGGATACTCTCAACCAGGCCTTTTGCAGCTTCCAACAATGGAACTCTTGCCCAGCATTGAGGAAGCAAACCCCTCTCCTCCCTCAGCCCAATCCACACCCTGATCAATCTTCACCACCGCCAGGTACTCATGACTTTGAGATACACTGTGATGGATTGTTCCTACACGATTCCCAGGAGGCGGCTTATGGCGTTGTCATCTCCAATAGTCATGGTCAAATTTGCGACGGGAAGGCTGAGACCTTACACTGCTTTTCACCGCTTGAAGTGGAAGCCAAGGCTCTCCTTGAGGGAACTCGTTCTGCGATCCAGCTTAACTCTCCATGTCTCATCAGATCGGACTGCCTTACCCTGGTTAGGGCAATCCAAGGATCCCTTGAGTCGTGGCTGTGGCGGGCTGCGGCATGGATCGGATCTATCAGACATATGTGCTCTTCCTTCCCTCGGATTAGGATCGAGTTCTTCAATAGAAAGCTCAATTCAAAGGCGGATTGGGTAGCAAGATCCTGTGTTAGGAACCAGCTACCCCATGACTGGATCCAAATCCTGGAGATTGTTGCTCCCCTATTGTAACCTTGGTTTCTTCCACTTTAAGTAATGGAATAAGTGTCTTAATGTAAAAAAAAAAAAAAAAGTTTGGACGAGAACACTGGCATAACAAAATGGCAAATATGACACACACCAGGCTCATACTTCCTTATTCCACCTTAGGTTAGAATTGATGTGTTGTATGAATGCATACATTATAAATTATAAATTGATGTATTGGTTAAATGGTTGCATTTTAAGATTACATTGTTTGGTGGTTGTGATTGTATTTTTAAGAATATAGTAGGAAGATAACTTTTTGAATGGAAATACACATTTATCCTTCCTTTTAGATACAAAAATCAATCACATATAAAAGTTGATAAGGGCATAAAAGAGAAGAAAAGTGGATTCACAATCTCAACAATCTCACCATATAGTTAAGATTCTAAATCATTCATCTTGAATGATTTCAAATGTCACATCAACAATGAAATACATGCATTGTGTTTTATTTTGCAACAAAAAAAAAAACGATGCATTCTCCACAATATATGCATTCATTAAATACATTATTTAGATACGTATCTACCAATTGACCTCTAAATTATTTCTTTGAAGGTGTATTAGCAAACCGCCACGACAGATTCATCATGCTTGGAGGGATTCTACCACCAGCAACGTCTTCGAGCTTTACAGCTTCAGTAACCTCTGCAAGTTCCTCTTCTGAAAGTTTGACCTTCAAGGAGCCAATGTTTTCCTCCAGGTTTCTAATCTTAGTAGTACCTAAGGAGAGTCACAAAACCCAACATTGTCGTCCCTAATCCATGGAAGAAGATATCAATGGCTAAGAAGTTACTTAAGTTCAGGATTTCAATTTTATTACCAGGAATGGGCACAACATCATATCCATGATGGAGAACCCAAGCAAGTGCCAGTTGAGAAGGAGTGCAACCATGCTTCTTAGCAAGGCTTTCGATCCTCAGATAAATAGCCTTGTTCTTGTCCAAGTTCTCTCCAAGGAACCGAGGATGCATAGACTGAAAGAACACGAGCGTCGAAATTTGAAAAAAGGTATCTTCATTCGATTTGAACCAAGAAATGCAGTCAATTTTTTGCTGAAACATACCAGTAAACTTTCAGCAGACAGAGTTTCCACAACTGCTTTGCCTGCAAAAAAACCATGACCTAGCGGACTGTAGGAGACTATTCCAATCCCAAGTTCCCTGCAGACCACAGAAACCTATCAGCAAAACTGTTCCTTAGACCATTTAAGAACATCGAGGGGTGACAATATTATGAACGTTGATTGACCTGCAGAGAGGGACGATCTCATCCTCAATATCACGAGTCCAAAGGGACCACTCCATTTGTAAAGCTGTGATGGGATGGACTGCATGTGCTCTCCTTACGGTATCAGGACTAGCCTCGGACAGCCCTACGTACCTAATTTTTCCCTCTTCTACCAGCTTCTTGAGCTCACCCATCTGCCAATTGAAAACACCATATAAGGTCGCTGAAAATGAAGATCCTAAAGCTTCTAAGCAAGAAGGGATTTTCAGTTTTCACTCACGGTTTCTTCAATGGGAACCGATGTATCTACCCGGTGCTGGTAGTAGAGATCAATGTAGTCAACCCCAAGGCGCTTCAAGCTCCCCTCGCAACTCGAACGAACGTACTCAGGGGTGCCATTTATTGTGAAGCCAGAAGATTCTAACTCTATCTTAACAATACCAAACTTTGTGGCTACCTGAACTTTCTCTCTGGGTAACTGCTTTAACGCCTGGAGAAAGACAAAGATTCAATTTTCTCCAACAGGAAATTGAAGAAGCACTTTCCCATTTGAAATTTTCTCTACCCAGGAGCCAACTTTACAGTCTAAAAAGATTAAAACATAGCAAAAGTGAAACATTTTTTAGTTACAAGGGTTAGGGCTCACCTTTCCAACAAGAATCTCATTGGCATGGGATCCATATACATCGGCTGTGTCGAAGAATGTGACCCCCTTGCTGAAGGCATTCTTCAAGATTGAGATTCCATCTTCATCAGGAAGTGGAGCATTGTAGATTCCACTCAAGCTCATAGCCCCGAACCCCAACTTCGAGACCTGGTCGAAAATGAGACCCATATGAACCGCACTTAACCTCATTTGATTCCTTGCTAAGGAAAATTCCTAAAATTCAGAATCATATTCTGGAACTAGGTTTTTTACTAATCCAGCCATGCTATGTCTGCTGCAAAACATTTCGGGCCTTTTTTCCCTTCAAACTAGAGGCGTAGGAAGCTAGGAGTTTGAATCTCACCTCTAGTCCTTGACTTCCAAGTTTGACTCTTGGAACAAGGAACTGCTCAGCCTCCATTTATGTCAAGAGCTTGTAGTGATCTTCTTCTTCTTTTTTTTTTTTTGGGTAGAACTGTAGTGATCTTCTGCAAAACGAAAAAAAGGGGGAAACTTTAGCAGCTGATGGAAGTTTTGGAGTGGATGAACAGAAAAAGGAGAAGCTTGCTGGCTACCTGAGTTGAACACTTGAACTTCAAGGCTTTAGAGTAGTTTTATGCGAAGAAAAGATGTGAAAATTGATCAGTCAACGAAAGAAGAAAATGGAAGGATGGTGTGGGTCTGTTGGAGTTCTTGCTTCTTCAACAAGAGTAGTTAGTAGATAGAGGCGGCCTGGGGAGCGGAGACTCTTGGGGAGCGGATCATCAGCGGCCAGCTGGTGATCCAATCCACTTCTCAACAACTTCAGCATCTATCTTGGCCAGTTGGACAAAAAAAAAATGCAAAAATCGTCAGATCCTCTCGTTAGGACTTAGAGCCCTCTCTATGACGTCACTCTCCCTAGCCTTGGAGCTGGTCTCGCTGACTTAGAGCCCTCTCTATGAATACTGAAGTGGCTTGGTTCTTAGGCAAAAACTGGCCAGAACTCGCAAACTTCCCAGTGAATCAGCTAATCAGGTTCATTGTTGCTTGGCGGTAGTGGTGTATTTAGGAAACCTCCATGGGTGCTGATAAAAGCAGTCAACCTAACTCATAGAAATTCATCGGCTGGAACAGAGGTTTTACATTGTAATTTGATATCTCCATGTTTTTGGCATTGTGATCTTGTCATTACCGGTAGAGGAAATGACTAAAGCTATGTGAAGATGGAACCATCTTCACTCTTCAGCTTGGAGTCCTACATGATGCAAAATGGTTGAGAGAATAGCTAATAAGCTAACCATTTATGTCAATGGATGAACACAATTACACAAATGACAAATATTACACACAGGCAAGGTTCATGCTTCCTTATTGTAGACTAGAGCAAATCCTTCTCTAAATGCAGAACATCTTCGGTTGAAAACCAAGTTATTTCTTAGGTGTATTAGCAAACTGCCATGACAGATTCATCATGCTTTCATAAGTTCTAATACCAGCAACATCTTCGAGCTGTACTGCATCAGTAACCTCTTTAAGTCCCTCTTCCGAAAGTTTGATCTTCAAGGAGCCTATGTTTTCCTCCAAGTTCTTAGTCTTAGTAGTACCTAACAAGCAGAAACCCCGGACATTGTCACGCCTCCCTCAATTTGAAATCAAATCAACACGGAAGAAGATATTGATGGTAAAGAAAGAAAGGGGACTGAATTCAAAGGAAAGAGGACAAGTTTAACAATTACCAGGAATAGGCACAACATCATCCCCATGATGGAGAACCCAAGCAAGTGCCAATTGAGAAGGAGAGCAAGCGTGCTTCTTAGCAATGATTTCCAGCCTAAGGTAGATAGCCTTGTTTATGTCCAAGTTCTCTCCAACAAACCGAGGATGTGTAGCCTAAAAACATTACATTTGAAATTGAAAACGATATTCCGTTCTATTTGAAGCGAGGGAAATGCACACACTTCTGCTAAAACATACCAAAAAACTGCCGGCAGGCAGAGCTTCCACAACTGCCTTCCCTGCAAAAAAGCCTCGACCAAGAGGGCTGTAAGGAACTATCCCAATCCCAAGTTCCCTGCAGAGCACAAGAAGCTATCAGAGAACTTTGAGACAATTTCACAACACAACATTAATGGTGCAATTCATGAATACAACCTGCAGAGAGGGACAATCTCATCCTCAATATCACGAGTCCAAAGGGACCACTCCATTTGTAAAGCTGTAATTGGATGTACTGCATGAGCTCTCCTTATTGTATCTGGACTGGCCTCAGAAAGCCCAATGTACTTAATTTTCCCTTCTTCTACAAGCTTCTTGAGCTCACCCATCTACCAATCGAAACACCATAACAGGTCACTGAAAATGAAGAATCTGAAGCATCCAAGCAGAGGATTTAAGTTTTTCACTCACTGTTTCTTCAATGGGGACAGATATATCAACCCGGTGCTGATAATAGAGATCGATATAGTCAACTCCAAGGCGCTCCAAGCTCCCCTGGCAACTCGAACGAACATACTCAGCTGTACCCTTTGCTATCATGCCAGAAGCTTCCATCTTAAAGACACCAAACTTCGTGGCGACCTGAACTTGCTCTCTTGGTAGCTGCTTTAAGGCCTGGGGATAAAAGCATAAAACTTTCTTCAACAGAAATTGAAGAAGCACTTCCCCACTCGAATGTTTCACATTCACTACCCATAAACCAAATTAGCAGACTTCTTTTTCGGACAACAGAAGACCAGTAAAACATTGCAAATGTCATAAGAATTAGGGTTTACCTTTCCAACAAGAATCTCATTGGCATGCGATCCATACACATCAGCTGTGTCAAAGAATGTGACTCCTTTGCTGAAGGCATACGTCAAGAGTGAAATCCCTTCCTCATCAGTCATTGGAGCATTGTAGATTCCCGTCAGACCCATGCATCCAAACCCCAATTTTGAGACCTGGAAGAAATCCAGAGGTAATAAGACCTATCTGATCAGAATTCTAATCTCATTTGATGTTCTACTGAGACCAAATCCCCAAAATGTTCAATTAAATCCTAGAACTGGGTTTTCTAACTCAAGCGCGACGCTAAAAAATTTCAGGCTTTGCACTTAGGACAAGAAGCATAGGAAGCTGGGAATTTGGATCTCACTTCTAGTCCCTGACTTCCAAGTTTGACCCTTGGGACATGGAACTGCTCAGCCTCCATGTTTGCCAGAGCTTGTAAGCGATTGTCTGCAGAAAAAAGGAAAACCTTAGAAGCTGCAGCTCAGTGAAACAGATGGCGCTGAGAGTGGAATGAACTGACAAAAACACGAAAGCTTGCTGGCAATCTGTGTTGTGGACTTCAAGGTCTGACCGTTGTTTATGGACAGCTGAAGATTGATCAGTAAGGATGAAGAAAATGAAAATTGGAAGGAGACAAAGGAGGAGGATCTTTGTTGCCAGTTGAAGAGAGTAGTAGTAGCGGGGTAGGTAGGTAGGCCAGCCCAACTTCAAGGGGACGGGGAAAAAAGGTTGCACCAGCCGGGAATCGAACCCGGGTCTGTACCGTGGCAGGGTACTATTCTACCACTAGACCACTGGTGCGCCTGTTGTTCCAGTTTATATTTGTTAATAATACTAATAGAAAAACAGTAACATTACATTTTTTTACTGACCAACTTCTGATCACTTCATATTTCATTCATCCCTGTGGCTAATACATACCAACAGGTAACACTTAACGACTTCCCGCAGATGTTTCCACCCACAGATACAGGCACAGCCCCAACCACAACATATATACATAAACTGCCTGCTATGTTTGGTAGCAATAGCATTAATTATGAGAATGATAACTATTAATTTTCACATAACATTCTACCGATATAGATAGGTAAGCTAATTACTTCTTGCTTGATAATAGTGTAACTTCCATGTGTGCTGATACCTAGCTCTAGCAACTTCATCCACCATCACGAACGTGCTATATCTCCTCCATATCGTCGACAGTTTCTTTCCCTTTATGCAAATGGCTAAAACAGATAAGAAGAGCAAATTGCTCTAGTTGGCATTTCGTGTATCAGTGTCAAAACTTGTATTGCAGGGAAGTATATCAAGACAAAAGGGAAGTCCTTCGAACCAAGAAGCTAGCCGCTGCACACTTAGAGAAAGTATAAAAAGCATAATAGAAGAAGCTTTAGGTACAAATGTGGAGAGAACAGTTTGAACGTTCAAAGCAAATTAAAGCCACATCAATCTCTGTGTTTAGCAATATTCGAGAGTGAAAGAGAGATAGTCAGTTCACCGTTCATTGCTACAGTTGTGGCTAATTTGATTAATCTCTTTAGCTTATAGCTTGTGAGGAAGAGAGAGAAGCTAGGTTATGTTCTTATCCATTATTAGGGTCCTAAATTGCAAGCTAAGTTCAGCGTATGCCACTAAATTAATTTATTCCATCCGTAGTCACTTAAATTAGGTTAACAGTTCAAGTTTGGTCACTGACCGTTAGTCTCCGTTAACTTTTGCTTATGTGACGGTCAACTATTTTAGTTGACCGTTAAATGAGTGACGTGACAACTATAAAATTAATAAATTAATAAAATATAATTATTTTTTTATCCTCCACCTAATTATTATAAAATTTTAAAAAATCCTAATTCCTTTATTATTATTTTCCATCGCCAGACCGTAGTTATTCCATTGCCAGGATGTCCGGCGCCTCCCCTGCAAAGTGCAAACAGCCCTTCCAGCTGCTCGAAATAGCTCGAGATCACCTCGAACCCTTCCTCCACCTGCAACGACCTCGCATAGTCGCCCTTGTAGAGCCCGATCGCCTCGTTCCTCTGGGTCTGCAGCTCCACGCTCGATTCGTCCGCCGGCGCCGTCGCCCACCTAAACACGTTCTCCATCAAACTGTCCGGCAGGGGAGGGTCTGTTGCGTCCTGGAGATTCACGGCCTCCACCATGATTGAAGTCCTCCGGGAACCGGAGAGCGCTCTCGACGCAGCCATGCTGCATTTCCATATCAGGCACGACAGCACCTCTATTCTCGACTGCTTGATCGCCACAAGGGCTCTCAGCTTTTCGATTGAGTCAAAATCGAACGCGAATCGCCTCGTGGCTTAGTTCTTCCCTTCGTAGAACCAGAGGGTTTCCATCATATTGAGGTGATTTTCAGGGAAGGGTTCCCGCGACAAAATCGGGACGAACGACGCCATTCGGATCGCCGCAGGACACAACGCAGAAGGTTTTCAGGAAGGATCGCATCGTGGCGGCGTCGGCCAGCTTGTGGGAGCACGCCCAGCCCAGCGCGACCCCTCCGCCAGTGAAAACAGAGACCTGAAGCTCGAGAACAGGGAAGGCCCTATTTTTGGGCTCTATGTGGAAGAGATGTCGGGGGAGGAGGCGGTTCAGAAGCTCTGTCTATCGGCGTTTCAGAAAATGGGCGATGCGGCAATCGACTCGGGCGTGGGTGAAAGTGATGCCCTCATCGAACCTGTCGATGAAGACATTGTCGGGTCTGGTCCGGCCGGAGAAAGGGTAGAGATGTTAAGAGTTTCCGCAATGGAGCGCTTAAACTGCTAGACGATGGCGTAGGAAGGGTGGGGATTCGAATTGGCGTAAGGAACGGCGTAGAAGAGAATGATTGGGCTGAAGGTTAAGGGGGGAGGAACGACGACGGTCTAGCGGTGGAAGATAATAATAATAAAGGGATCAAGATTTTTAAAATTTTTAAATAATTAGGTGGAAAGTAAAAAATAATTATATTTTATTAATTTTTTAATTGTCACGTCACTAATTTAACGGTCAACTATACGAGTTGACCACCACATCTGTAAAAGTTAACGGAGGGTAACGGCCAGTGACCAACTTGAACTGTTAACCTAATTTAAGTGACTACCAATGAAATAAATTAATTTTAATGGCAGACGTGAAATTTTTAAGTATTTCTAGTGACCAAACTTGCAATCTAGCCATTAATAGGGGTATGGAATCCATCCGAAGTAATTCATCTTGTAGTTAGTTGGATTAATAAGACAAAATCCTAGAGAATCAAGTCTTAAAGGGCATATACCTTTTAGCTGAGACATAAGCAATAGGTTGAACTCGATTTAACCAAAAAATTATGTTTTGTCTTCTTCCCTCCGAGTTTTCTGTTCTTGTTCTCTGTTTCTGGGAATGCTATGTTTTGTAGGAATTATGGAAGGCAGGAAGTACATAGGAACTTCCAGTTTGAAGAAGACGGATCGTGGACGCTTTTGACTTGAATGGTGGGATGAGGAACTGAACGTGTGTCAGTGATTAAGAATGAGCCCATTTTAGTTATATTCAATGAAAACATATCATCAAATACTAATCGTCTTCCCTATCTCTGGAGTTGGATTAATCTTCTTCAACTTAAGTTCTCTCTTGTTTCATGAAACTCGTCAACGTTCGTTGTATAACTTTACAGTTGGTAATAAAGCAGGTTTGACAAGCTCAATTTCAGATAGATGCCTCTTCTTCCTGAATCGAAATTTTGGGTCATATGTCTCTGACGAACCAAATGGAGGGACACTCATCCACTCACCCTCCTAAGTTAGATAGAAACACTTATGCCCTTTCGGAATAACTACATGAGCAAGGTAACAAATGAAATTAATAACTTGATCGAGGACGACCTAAAAAAGTTGTAGATCAATGTCAGAGCTAAACATATCCTGAAGTGCCCCTTGGATGAGAAGAATACAAGAAGGTGGCCATGTGCAAATCAACCAAGAAAATCTGAGATATACTGCAAACTATTTCGGAAGGTATATATTAAGTTAATGATACTCATCAGAATGCTAGTTAAAAAGAATGAAATGTTTAAAATGACAGATTGTGAGAGTGTTGTTGAGATGTATGAACGATTCACCAATATAGCAAGTGGATAAATGACTTCAGAAAAAAATTATTGCAATGTCGATAATTCAGCAACATTTTGAATTCTCTGCTAAAGACTTGAACACCCAAAGTCATATCCATAAAGGAATCGAATGATTTAGAAAAGTTTGAATTAAGCAAAGCTTATAGGGTTCTCAACTACACATGAGAATGTTATGAGAATAGAGACTGTAGAAAAACCTAAGAAAAGAAGGGATATGACTCTAAAATACCAGTTCGCTATGAATGAAGATTATGATGAAAAAATTGAGAATCAAATTGAACTCTCAACGAAACCACTAGATTATCTAAAATTTAAAAGTAATCAGAGAGTAAATTTTGATAGACATAATGAGGATATAAGGTATGACACAAAAATGAACATTAAATTCAATAAAAATTCAGTTAGGTTTGTTGGTAATTGATAACGTCGTATTTGCACATGTTTGCACCCTCGTTTCTTGATCATTTTGGCTTGAGTTTTTGCTTTCTTGGAATATTTTACGCTAGGTTGTGTTCCTTTGTCACATTTCAGGTCCTAGCATGTAAATTGAAGCAAAGACGCAAGTTTCAAGTCAATCGGAGATCATTTGGCAATTCGGAAGAAGAAACACGAGCATGACCTGAGGAAGAATGGATTTCTACCTCATATTATGGACAAATAATCATGTAACTTTGTTATGAAAAGAAAGAGGACGAGACTACGAGTGTCTAGGATCAAACGGCGACTGATTCAGAGTCTGGACGAGGGAGAAACGAAGCATTAAACAGGAGCGGAGGAAGAAATACGGGCATCCCCTGCCCAATTACGGCGTAATTGCCTTTGCCTTGCCCGTAAATGCAATGTCGAGCCAAGTCCCTGAGAATGCCTTCGAAGATCAAATTACGGGCAAGAGCAAAATGAACTATGGTCGTAATTCCACAAATACTGGCAGTAATTGGGTAATTACGACCGTAATTCCTCTCATCAGTGTTAAGTGAAACCCGCGTTTTGGGTTAAATACGGGCGTGCCATGTTTACGACCGTAATTCAGCCCGTATTTCGCCCAGAATCGGGGTTTGAGGCAGATTCGAGCCAAAGGAGAGAGAGTCGACTTTTTGGAGCAAAAACAGAGTTTTAGAGAGAGAAAGTGCAAAGAACAAACCCTAGGAGCTATTTGAAGTGGATTTCTCACCATTGAAGCCCAGATTGCATCCCCAGGAGTGAAGATCATCATCCCGGAGTAGATTATCCTCATCGTTATGAGTATGACTACTCTGATTTCTGTTTTCCTCTCTCTCTATGGAGTAGAACTTTCTCTCACTTTGGTATGAAGAACCCTAGTTCCATGTGTTAGGGATCTTGATTGTAATGACTTGGGATTGTTATACTGATTGATTTTAATCGATTGATTCATGATTTATTGAGTCAATTGAAGCCTGATCATCTTTTCTTGATTTCTGCTGCAACCTGAGATAGATAGACTCTGATTAGGTTGTTAGAGCTTCATCAATCGGTAGTGGTAAATTGATTATACGAGAGTTAATCGATTTACTGCTTTGTACTGGAATCCAATTCCAGTAGTGGAGTTCTGCGTTCATAGCCTCAGCTTTCTATCCCGGTGAAGACTAGTCGTCTGCCGGGTAGTTGGACTGAGAGGGCTTGGTCAGCTTAAGAGATTCCAAGCTACTGTCGGATCTTCCGTAGTTTAATCAACAGTTAATCAACCCAGTGTAATTACAAATGTGACCTAACTCAGGAGCTAGGGGGACTCATTCCCGACTGACTCTTCCCTTGCTTTAGAAAATCGAACCATTTCCTGCTTTCTTACTGCTTTTAGTTAAAATCACAATCACTCGACTTAGTTTGCTAGATAATAGATATTCATGGAGTAGGCAGTAGATCTAGACTCCGGGTTGACAAATAGAGCTTGCATGTTACTGCATTTCCGGACTGCGATTACACTTGGTCGCAGTTTGGTGTTGTATTTTAGCGTGTCAGTAATAAAAATAATTTAAATGTTGAGAAAGATACTATCACATGTTTTATGTGTGGAAGGCATATCAAACTTAGAGTAAATTGTCCTAACAAGAGAAAAATTCATGACAAGGCAATGGCAACTACCTGGAGTTGCAGTGATGAGGATTCTAATGAATCAAAGACTAAACGTTGGACCCGTAAATATGACACGACTCAACTCGAACAATAGCGGTAATCCACAAGCGCATATGGGCCCAAGCCCACATAGACCCAATGAAAGCCCAATGAAGGGTGACAAGGCTTGACCTATAAATATACCTTTAGGTCTTCCAAGTAAGGGATCTCTTCTTCTCCTCTTCTCACTTTGACATATCACTTCTCTCTCTACATCATCTCTCTCTACTCCATGCTCTCCATGTTTCCCAATCACTATACTAATGTTGATCGTTGGAGTGTAGATAATGGGGGCCATCCCTGCCCTTTCACAGATCCGGAGTTTCCTTGTTTCGTGGCTGAAACACTAAATCATATCATAAGCGGTACATGAAGATCAAGCACATTGGGGACTAATGACTATGGACAACAAGAAGACAAATGTATTACTTGAATCCTTACAATATCTATATGAAGATTCTAAACGGAAGAAACCTTAAATGAAACAAATAATATGGTGAAGGGAAAACTAGGACTAAGCAAACTAAAGTATCAAAACTCATAATTTAAGAAAAATATTAAGAAACTGTATTCTTGCCTCCGGAGAATTGCAAGATAATCTTGGAGAATTAGAATAATTTTTTGAAAAATATAACTAAACAAGTGAGTGAACTTGAGAGCCATAGCCATATCAAATACATACAAATACCAGAATTTCATGGATCCCAAAAACAAATGTGCTTCAATTGATGCAAGAGATATCTCTATGGACTAAAATTGAATGGTATCTTGATATATGGTGACAAGAGCAAGTTCAAAGACACTATCATGCCAATGTTACATTTGGATATAATGCCAATGTTACAAGAACTAGAACTAGAACTGTTTAATGAGCAATCAACTTGATCTTATATAATGTGTTGCTTGTAGAGGGTCTTAAGTATAATTTACTATCCATAAGTCAATTATGTGAAAAGGGAAATCGAGTAACATTTAAAAAATAAATTGCAAACTTCAAATGATAACATATAACAAAGTGTTACTAATTGCAAATAAATTAGGAAGAAATAGACTTAGCAGATGAAAACGCAGTTTGTGGAAAATGTTCGGTAGAAGAGACCAATAACCTTCAGCCCCAAGGACGTACAAAACTAGGTCATGTTAGCATAAGTGTTCATGGATAGGGATTAGCAAGGGGATTTCCCCTCTAGGTTAGAAATCTAAATTCTTCTGTGATGTTGGTGCTTTAGGAAAAGAAAAACACATTTCATTCTAAAGCAATGGAGACATAACAACTAAACGAATTTTTGAACTCTTGAATATTGACCTCTTTGTACGAAATCAAATCATGAGCATAGGAGGAAAATACTTTGTAATTGTCATTGTGGACGATTTCTCCATATTTACATGAGTTATCTTTCAAATACATAAATATGAAACCACTAAATTTTTTTAAAAAAAATTGTTCCCAACGTTCAAGTTGAAAAGGAGCTA